GGGCTACAGCTTAACTCTCTTATTCTATCTCTTTTGTCTTTTAGAGACAGAATTACTCTGACCCAAAGCAAGATTTCAAAAGAGAAATTTAATTGAGGCAAAAAGGGTCCCCATTTTAGCATGTGGGGCTTACCAAAATTGCCTTGAGTTAGAATTTTAATTTAGAACAGGGATATTCTTAGAATAGTCTCTCCTGGATCCCATGTGAGGATCTTTTCTTCCTTTGCTTGTTTGTTTTCTGAGATTGGTCCCACTCTTTAGCCCACACTGGCCTGGAACTCACTATCTAGCTACCATATAGTTCCAGATTGCTTTGAACTTACAGAAATCCTGCTGCCTCAGACTTCCAAATAGTGGGAGCTACTATGTTCTTATTTGCCCATTCCCTCTCCCTGTGAATACTAGCTCAAATGCCACTTTCTTTAAATATCTGCCCAGGCTTCTTGGTGAGAACTCAAATACTGCCATATTTAACATTTTACCCTACTGCTCACTTCTCCTGTGTTGCCCCAACTCTGTTCAAATTTGTATTTTTTGTTTTAAATACTCAAATTTCAACGTATTACTTTCATTTTAAATATTTCCCACTCACTATTTAATTTGTTTGTGGACTAAAATGGCTGGCTCACCAACAGCATCGATTGGTTTCTGAAGGCTCTAGGAGATGAAAAGGTCAAATCAGAGGGACAGCTTTTCTGGTGCTGCAAGAACTCTCTTCTGGTTGGTAAGTTACGCTCCTGTGGCAGAAAGAATGGCTAAACTTTTAGAACACTTGTTACCTCCTGAAGTTTCTAACTCCCAACATATACACTCTAAGTCAGGATTTCAAAGTGTGAGCAGTAAGGAAGACACAAGCATCTCTGTCCACAGAGGCCTGTTGGAATAGATAGCATATTGTCATTACTAACTTACAAAAGCCTAGAACAGAGTTCAACATCTCGTAGGTGACCAATAAATGGACTGTGGTTAAGTCAAAACTCTCTATATAACCTACCACCTCCTCTCGCTTTTAACAGCCAATAGTGCAATTCTGGTTTCTCATTTCATTAGCTAATTAGCCCGCTAATTACATTTCCTGTTCATTCTCTTTAATCTTTTCCCTTTATTGTTGGCTGATTTGCTACCTTAAAGCTGGAAATTATCTTCTTAGAAATTTCCAATGTAAGATGCTATGCAAGGCTCTTTTCAACATAGGTACCAATCAAATCAGGAGTCATCTACTCACATCTCGATGGACTTTGACAGGATGCTATAAATTTCTAACACTAAGGGAATGTTTGTTGACATCACAGTTGGAGGTTCTATGTGTGGTAAAAATGATTTATTGTCACTGGACAAGATGAACTATAAAAATGAAAGCACAAACAATACTTGAACAAAAATGGAACTGAAGCCACAAAAGAATGACACATGCCTGATTGACTCAGGAAATACGCTCATTACCAAAATGCCTTTTACGTTTATCTTCAAGTTTTTGGGGAAGGAACTTATCTGTATGCAAAGGTTCAAACTCCTCCCACTCTGGGATTGACTGTATGCAGGTTTAAAACTATGATTTCTCTGAATTATAAATAGTGGTGTTTTATCTTTCCACCAGTATTCTGCTTTTCCTTCATTTATCTTTTTACTACCTTACTATGGGAAACAGTGATTTGGAGGTCTCGTGTTTCTTCCCATCCCCAAATTCTTAGCAGCATCTCTGAGCAGGGGCATCTTGTGTAGTTTTAGTTTAGGTTGTGCTACATTCATTTATGCTATGGAGTATTTGTTTAGTGATGCAAAGATGTGTTGCATTCTTTTATGTTGCATTTGTTTAGCTCTGTAAAGCTGTGTTACTTTGCCTGTCTAAGACACCTGATTGGTCTAATAAAGCGCTGAATGGCCAATAGCTAGGCAGGAGAAAGGATAGGAGGGGATGGCATGCAAAGAAAATAAATAGGAGGAGAAATGTAAGGAAGAAAGTAAGGAGCGAGAAAAGGAGGAGAGGAGGATGCCAGGGGCCAGCCACCTAGCCACACAGCCAGTCGTGGAGTAAGAAGGAAAAAAAGATATATAGAATAAAGAATGGTAAAAAGCCCAGAGGCAAAATGTGGTTAAAAAGAAATAGGATAATTTGCTAGAAAAGCTATCTAAAAACAAACCAAGTTAAAGTCAGGCATTCATAAATAAGAATAAGTTTCCTGGTATTTATTTGAGAGCTGGGTGGTGGACCCCCAAAAGTTAAAAAACAAAAACAAAACTGCAGAGGCATCTTTGCATTAGAACCAGGATTGTACTTGAAGGGATACTCCAAAAGGGACCTGAACATTTACAGAGGTGATAGAGAGTTTATATTGCTGACTAGAAAATTTAAAAAAATAATGTGTGTGAGTGGGTGGGAAGCAACCACTTCAAAGGTTTGTGTTTCAAAGTCCTGTTTTCTCAACACTCTCATGTGAAGGTTGTTCAGATCAAAATTGTAATAACTGAGAATGTAGAAACTGATGTGAATTAGTTTCATACCATCATAAAAGTATAAAAATCATAAATTGAATCACTGAAAGTTTGGGGCAATCTATAGCAAGCACAGATGTGTCTAATTTGATGCCTCCCCATCCCAGTACTAACTCTGTTTAATCCTACTTACCTTCCAGGTCATAGGACTGGGTAGACTCTGAGTGGTATGGCCTTGTGTATAATGCTGCTCATGGCAGAAACCTAGCTTGTGCAGCATCAAACATGATTTGTTTGAATGAAGATCCACAGAACATGCATATTTTGGTTATCAACATAAAAGTTTTGATGTACTGTATATATTTTAGTTACAATAATTTATTATTTGAAAGTGTCTTTGCCAACTGCATCAATGATTAATAGGTCACACTGTGATGCCAAGCACATGTGTCACACAAAATAGCATTACAATAGTTAGTAAGGCCTAGAAAAAAGTTCAGATTCTTAATGGTATTCTGTAATAAGTACTCAAGAGGATGCCAGCAACTAAGTGTCCAGTTTTAATAAATTTTAATAAAATTAATGTGTAACTAAGTCTATTCATACATAGACAGTGGAAAAGCACAGAGTGACAATTACAATGGTGAGACACAAGGCATTGACAACTGGGAACATCTGCGAGGACTAGGAACAACAGGAACTTGCTCACATACTGGGAAAAATGTAAAACGTGACAGCTGCATTGTAATGAAGTTTGGCAATTTCTTACAAAATCATATTCTATTAATATTTGATTTAGTCATCATAATCCTTGGGTATACATCTGAATGAGTTGAAAATAGGTTGCTATGCAAGTTGGAAAACAAATGTTTTCAGCGTTTTCTTAAACAGCTCCCAAACTTAGAAGCAATTTGAACAGATGAATGAATATACTATAGTATGTAAAGAAATCATCTAAATCATCTACAATCTCTCTCTCTCTCTCTCTCTCTCTCTCTCTCTCTCATGCAAAAAGAAGTTAATATAAAACATCGACATATAGTATGACCCAAATTACATTACAATTTGTAAGAGGCAAAATTATGGAGTCAAAAAAATTTCATAATTTGCCAGAATATCAGCAAAGAAAGAGAGAGACATAAGGAAAATAGGAGATTTAGAGTGGTGCATACACACAATAGTGATGAAAAATTGTCATTATACAGTTCTCAACACCTGCAGAATAGACATACTAGCAGGGAACCATTGTTTAATGATGGACTTAATGTGTCTATATTGAGTCATTAATTATAACAAATTATTACACAAATACAGGATGTTCGTAACAGTGGAAGCTGTATGTGTTGGGAGAGATTGTACCCAGAGATTCTCTGTATTTTCAAATGAATTTTTTCTGCAAATATGAAACTGTCTTAAATGAAAGATACCCTGTGTAAAGAAGGATACAAAAAAAAAAAAAAGGAAAAAAAATGCAGACTCTGGAAAAGCAAATAGGACCAAGATAATATAAAAGTATTGCTAAGATAAACCAACAACAATGTCTAACCTGTGATGGACATTTTTCTGCCATCTTGCATGATAATACCACTGGGCATCCCAGTGGACTGTTGGTATTACTAACAGTGTGTTTAGGTCCCGTGAGTCTGGAGCCTTTCATACTAAAGAATTCAATCAGGGTTTGCATTAGGTCCCATGGCACTGAAACCTGTATCTTTTTTTTTTTAATGACTACAAAGATAACAGACTGCAGATTCACCTACAATAACTTACATGTTGAAGTGAATCTGGAAAGAACACAAGTATGACAGACTGTGGAGTATCTTCGTCGCCTTTAGAGGAGAATGATCTGCTGTAAACTTTCTTGGAGCTCAAGGATGAGAGATTTTTGTCGGCACTAAGCTGTGCCCCTGTTCCCTGTAGAGGAGGAATGCTTTAGCACTGTGATGAGGATGGATAATAGAGGAAGTACTACGCTCGATTTTTTTTGTGACAGGAATAGGAATACGTGCAATATTTAGGTAAAACTAATCTTGCCCAAAAGTAAGACTCAAAGTATTTTTGTTTAATCAAATCCTTTAAGTCAAGACTCCTATCGTAAGAGTACATTAAAAGCAGAAAAACCTGTGAAGTGTTCAAACAGCAAAATGTCAACTGCTCAACAGGACTCAGCCACTTATTGTTTATAGGTGCACTAAGGTTAATGGTGTCTGCCAGCCCTGGAGCATCTCAGTGGCGCTGGTTGACTGTTCTTGTGAGCAGCCTCCTGGGTGTCACATGGAAATATCATCACAGTCCCTCCTACCTGTGGCTCAAGTTCAAAGTGGCCAGATTAGTGCTTTGCAATGATGCTTTTGTCACCTTGCCACCCTAATTCAAATGTGAATGTAGTATCTGCTAAGTAATGACTTTGGAACCCACTGCACATGAACAATACAAACCAGGAGAAGTGAACTCAGTAAAAGCAAATTCTAAACATCTTAATACTCCCCATGGTGTCGTCCATTTTTATACCACAGCTTAACTCATTTTTGAAGACCACAAAACCAAAGATAGGAATCAGCTGTTACCTATGACGAAGATTTCCCAATTCTTCTGAGAGTAGGGTCACTTTTTTCACACAGCCCTTCCTCCACTCCCGGACCCAGCAATCCTTGAAGTTGTTCTAGTAGATCTAAGAGGAAGAAAAACACATAAGGAATGTTAACACTCGGCTGTATGTTGTTCAGATTTTCTTTTTGCCATTGAATGAGTTTCCCACATATCTTATATCCAGCTGCTATATAAAAATTTGCATTTGGAAAACATTTATAAAGGTCTTTTCTTTCTTTACATAATTTATGACTGAACAGTCCATCTTTAGGGGATGTTGTCTTTACTTGGTATATACTCATTTACACTATTTTCAACAATGATTTTCCTATTAGGGGATCTCGCTAATAATACCAAGGGATTTTACAGAGGTAGAAGATTATCAGGCACACACAGTACTTATCTGTGGCTTTCCTAAAACTGCTTTGTCATTTCACTCATCTATGAGATGGACTAACACATTTTGGTGCCAAAAATCTATTTTTTTTTCTGACCTAAAAATCTCTAGTGGAATCCTAAGCACTCCATCAAGCCCGCAATATTGTTGACCTGAGGGAGTGAAACATTGTTCCTCCAGCAACATGTTCTATAAGATAGGCCTTCACATCAACACAAGTTCCATGTGTCCCTTTTTGGAACTAGCAAAAACTAAGCTAGCTATGGCTGTCAATCACCATCTGTTCAAATTCAATTTGATGAATCCATTTTCCACAAGCTATTCTTGGAAAGCCTCTTACGCTGCCTGCAAATAGACAACATTGCTTTGTGACATTCCTCAAGCATTCTAGCCAAACATCCCTTTACAGTCTTAAATATTTATGCCATGGAAAATGTGTCTTAGAAAGACTTGCAGTGGAACATCCAGTTGTGTAGCTCCAAAATCTTACAAACTGTTGTGTTTACATCACCACCCACAGTGTTGTATGAATTCAAAGGGACACCAAAGACATAGATATGCAGAAACCTGGAGATGTTAGCTTGCCCAGGCTGTTTCCTAATCTAAAAGCATGCCAGCTAATCTCCTTGGCTTATCAAATGATCTGTTTGTGCGATATGAGTTTTGTGGCTCTGCTAAGAATCATTTACACATATACTTGGGACTCACGCAAAAAATCAGTGGAGACTCAAAAAGGCAAACCCAAAAACCCAATGTGAGTTTACAGCGTCATCTCTCTGTAATACTATAGCTTTTCATCACTGGTACCATTATTTTTAACATGGGTAATGAATTTCTTGTTCTACAATAATCAAACTAGTCATCTATAATTTAGATAAACCTAAAAACCCATAAGTTGAATGAAATAAACCAGGCACATTTTTTTGAAGACCATATACTCTTTGGTTATATTTATGAACTTTTAGGAATGGTAAAAATAGGCTCTGATAATATGCAGAACCATGACTACACATGGTTAACAGAGGTGCATCATAAGGGGACTTTTGGTAACTGCATCTTGATCAGGATACTGATCACACAGACTCATCTACTAGGCAAAACTCATTGAACTATGCCTTTAAAGCTGCACATCTTATCGTAAGTACTGTATATCTTGATTAAAATCCAATAAGTCTCATAGGTATTTCTTAATTTTTAGAAAGATTGAGTCAGGGCTCCTGTAAGAAGGAATATTTACTCTTTTCTTGGCCAGTGGATTGAATTTTTCATTGCTTCATTTTTTTCCACATAAGAGTTATGTATGAAAGAAATATATGATTCGCAATGACCTTGATAGTGTGCTCTAAGAAAAGTAGTGGGTAACAGAGGAGAAGCAACCTACCTACAAAGCTTAGCTTATTGTGGTAAATAGACAATTGAAATATGAAAACCAGGAAAAAAAGGATTATGGTCATTACTGAGATAAGATCTATGTTTAGCCAAGGTCCACACTAAACCAGAGAAATCCACTTTCTTTAAAAATCACAAGATAACCTGTGAAGACACTGATGTTCAGCAAGCCAGTAAAAGCTGATGGAATACTTAGACCAGTGAAAACCACAGCATTTTTCTATTGAACTAAGCCAGCACATTCCCAAATTTAAAAAATCCAGACAGCAACTATTTTATAGACAAAACTGGATCAGCCATTGGAGATAATTTTTGTTGTTGTTGTGACTTTTATACCTTCAGGCAGTTTACATACAGCTGTCCGGGAGGATAAAATGGTGTTAAGTGACCTTCTCTCCCATGAGCAAAGGCCAGCTGGGAAGACAGGTGCATCACTTCTGGTAAAGTCACTGCCAGTGAGGGACAGACAGGCACTCTTAACAAACAGAAGCATGCATACTCCTGACAAATCCAAGTTGTGACAGATAGCGACAGACATATAAAATACATTGACAGACAAACTAATCTGACATCAGACCCTCTCAGGTAAACATGGCTCTCTCACCACCGTCCACCCCAGCACTTCTAAATGAAACCCCTTTGTGACAATGCCCCTTTTAAAGCAAGTGAAAAATTTCCATAGCATGCCTAGGATTGCAAATCCTCTCAGTCCCTTTTGGGTTTTTAACCAATTTACTTAAAATTCTTGCTAAGAGGGAGGTGTCATTATAAGATTAAAGAGATGAAATTAAGTACGCCAAAATTAAGTATGAACCATGTAATTAAGTTACTAAATCTCTAATCCTGGGGGAAGTAGTCTTACACTTTAATATCTAAAGGAAAAAACAACATAATGTTTGAAAGAATGAGTGAAGAAATAGCAAAATGATAAGTCTACTTTAAAAATTGTATTTTGTAAGAATTCTGCCATGAATAACAAGCATTCTATACTAAGTCAACTAACACCCTTAACATTGCCTTCTCTCTGATCTCTATTTTCCCAAGCTCTGGTCAGAAAACAAAGGTTTTGTCCACCATTATTTTGGCAAGATAGAAATGACCGCTTGAAAGAGCTGGTGAGATGGCTCAGAGGATCAAGAACATTTGCTGCTTTTGCAGATGACTGCAGTTCAGTTCCCAGCACCTACATAGTGGCTGGCAAAGCCTGTAGCTACATCTCCAGGAAATACGTTGCCCTCTTCTGGCTTTTATAAACAAGAGCACCCCAGTGCAAGTACACATGTGAGTTCTGTGCTCAAATATGTGCACACACAAACGCACAGATAAAGATAAATAAACCTTTAAAAAATATTAAAATGGCCACTTGAATTAAAAATTCCTGGTATTCTAGACAACTCTTCAATGTAACAGTCATTGCACAGCCTGGGAAAACTGGCTTAAAAATGTAGAAAGACGTTTGACTTTCTCAAACTGGTCAGTGACAAGCCAACAGAAATCTTTTGTATAGGTTTCACATATTTAATATTTAATAAAGATACATCATTTGGAAACCATTTTTAAAGAATCAGATATTGTAGTGCATGATTGTAGTTCTGGAACTTAGAGGAACTAGAGGCAGGAGAATCGAGAATTCAAGCTAAGCCTTGGCATCAAAAGTCCATTCAAGGTCAAAGTGGAATGGAGGAGATGTTACCTTAAAACAAAACAAAACCTTGTGTACAACAAAATATTTAATGATTAGAAGAGAAGAAATACTTAATGATTTAATGATTAACAGAATGTTTTTGAGCATTTTCATGTTTGTTTTATTCTCTCAATTTCTATTTTTTGTACTATTTAAACACTTTACTATTTTAAATTTCTATTATTTCTAACAACAAGCTACTTGTGTTTCCTGGTTGTTCTTTGATATTGATATTTTCAAGTATTTAGCCTTTTGAAAATACTATAAAGTAATTATTGTGTTGAGGTTATAAAATGTGAGCAATTTCACAAACACAGACACTTAAGACTTCTCAATCTCAATCCACCAAATTCATAATTATGATAGAAAATTTAATAAGATTTCTTATGGTTCTCACATGGCAACAGCTTTCTTTCCTTAACTTCCAAAAATTTCTCATCATGACCTTTTGTATTCAGGAATAATCTCCAATACCACACGCCTTTCCTATATGTCCTTTGAGCAAATTTTAAGCAGGTCAAATGTGATGAACCCATTAAAGATTTTTTAAAAACCTGCATAAAAGAACTCAAACATTTAGAAACAGAAATGAAATTCATTCCAGCTAGAGATCGAGGATTTGCCTTAATTTTTCCATATCTTTAGGATTTAGAGATGATATTCATGGCATATGGATAGTAAGAGACTTCCAAAATCTTAGATTTAGCTCTGACTTAGTGCCATTCATTTTCTTTCTGCAAGGTCCTAGGGGGCACATCCTTTTCTCTAAAATAACTGATATCTCTAAAATTAATGCAGACAGAGAGAAAAACAAATCCCAAAACATTTTCATGGGCTATGACAACTGTATACATTAGCTGATGTGGTATGTTGGTTGAGTACTCAATTTTCCAAAGAAGTCAGAGTAAGTAGGACATGTTTCATTAACATTAGCTGAGCACTTGACTTGAGATAAGATCATATGTTAAAGTAGTATTTACACTGCTTGGATTTTAGTTACAGATTTCATTAAGTACATGCTTGCTTTTGTTATGATTTGTGTTTACTAATATTTCCCTTAATGTTGCCTGTGTAGCTGTGGAAATTTTTCATCCATAAATTGAACACACAGTGGGTATGCTATAATTGCTCTCTACTTCCTAAAAGATGAAAGGCAGAGAGAGAGAGGGGGAGGAAGAAGGATAGGCACAAAGAAAGGAAGGAAGGATGGATATAAGGAAGGAAGGTAGGTTATATATCTATTGAAGCTTCGATTCCTTACTTAGGTGTGTGCCATTAGACAAACGTTTTCCTGAATAAGGATCTCATGACACTTGTTTCAGCCATCCAGTTAATGTGAATGGTATTGATATCTAAGAGGGTGACATCTTTCTTTAAGACTAGATGGTCCTTGGGTGTATTTCTATAAACTTCCAGATCAGTTCTGAAAGGAGAGCTGGAGTGAAGGGTGTGTTTTTTTTTTTTTCAGCAGAAACAATTTCACAGGGATACAGAGGTCATAGCTTTTAAGAGGGCTGAAGATTCTTTTTAACTATATTGAAGCTTTATGAAAGACTTTGGAATGTACCAAAAGAACACTGGGCTTCTACATTGAAAAAGGAGGCAGAATCTA